TCTCCAGATATGACCCCTTAATCTTCAACTCACCCTGTGCCCTCTATCTATCTATCTATCTACATATACATATACATATAATTTTTTTCCTCCAACTACCCTAATACTGACAAAGGTCTCATGAGTTATAAATATCATCTTTCCATGCAGGAATGTAAACAGTTCAATCTTAATAAGTCTCTTATGATTTCTCTTTCTTGTTTACCTCTTCATGTTCCACTTGAGTCCTGTATTTGAAAGCCAAATTTTCTATTCAGCTCTGGTCTTTTCATCAAGAATGCTTGAAAGTCCTCTATTTCACTGAATGACCATTTTTTCCCCTGAAGGATTATACTCAGTTTTGCTGGGTAGGTGATTCTTGGCTGTAATCCTATCTCCTTTGCCCTCCAGAATATTATATTCCATGCCCTGCAGTCCTTTAATGTAGAAGCTGCTAAATCTTGTGTTATCCTGATTGTATTCCCACAGTACTTGAACTGTTTCCTTCTGGCAGCTTATAATATTTTCTCCTTGACCTGGGAACTCTGGAATTTGGCTACAATATTCCTAGGAGTTTTCCTTTGAGGATCTCTTTCAGGAGGAGATCCCAACAGTCATTTATTAAGCATCTACTTTGTCCAAGACTGGAATCAACGTGACTCGAATAAGCCTGACGTAGAGTAGGAAGATGGGTTTAAAACCGACCTTTGATACATTGTCTGTGTGAGCCTCAGCATATCATGTCACCCTTCAGTGCCCCAGTCCATTGTTCATTAGTGGGAGGAATTTCCTCATGCGTGATTACTAATACCAGTGAAATTACAGTTCTGGATAAAAACATGGTGGCTGATATTGTCACAGTAGCTAGAACGTGGGGCCTGGAGTCAGGAGTGCCTGAGTTCAAATCCAACCTCCCTCAGAGCTTCACTGCTATGTGATCCTGAGCAAATCACTTTACTTCTATCTGCCTCAGTTTCCTCTACTGTCAAATGGGGGTAATAACAGCACCTCCTTCCCTCCCTGGCTTGTTTCAAAGCTTAAATAAGAGGCCACATTTAAAGTGTTTTGTAAACCTTAAAGCTCTATGTAAACGAGAGCTGCTGCTTTATTTTAACAAAAAAAATAGGGTTTGCCTTCCTGGAGCTTATGTCATATTTGTAAAACACAATGTGCAAATGGAGGAACCAATGGGAATCCAGTGAGCTAACACTTGTCCAGTGCTTTCTAGTCCTGAAAACTCTCGCTAAAGGCAGCTGTTATTTTCATCATGATTTTTATTAGAAAATATTTGAGGAGCTTGGAGGGCATGGTACCCCCTGAGGGGATCAGGAGAGGCTTCCCAGAGGCCTTTCACAGACTGACTGACTCATAATTTGTAGCATTTCATTTGACCCTTACAACAAGTGATCGTCATCAATGAACAGTTCTTAAGGGCCTGCTATGCACCAGGCACTATACAAAAAGAAGCAAAAGATGCCCCTGCCCATCTAAAGACGTGATGGGAGGCCTTCCAAGTGTGATTACCCTCATTTTGCAGATGAATAAACTGAGGTTTAGAGAAAGGGGGAAGGGGCTTGCCCAGGGTTGCACAACCAATAAGTTCCAGGGGCAGCATTTAGACCCAGGCCTTCCTGACTGATCCAGCCCCCTTATTTCACAAATGAGGAACTTGAGGCTAAAGACCCACCAGGGACCGATTGGAAGTCAGTTCCCATCCCCCAGGCTGCCTCTCCTCTGGGGCAGTGATGCAAAGATCCACACCCTTAGCCTGAATCTTCTGATTACCAGGAAGGGCCCATGTCTCTTATGAAAGTGGAGGCGGAAGCCCAAATCTGTCTCCAGGTGCAGGGAGAATCTGAAGGTGAATAGCCAAGAAACCGTGCCTTTGGGAAGTCAGTGAGAGGCCCTCACTCCCCTCCAGCCTTCCCTTACTGGGGGGGGGGGGCACTTAGCGTCTCAGATGTTAGAGGTAGAAAGGCTTACGTTTCCACAGGTGGAATAATGCAGAGATTTAAAGAACAGCTCCAGGAAGTAGTACACTGCAGGTGGGCTCTGGCTTAGCCAATAAAAAGTAAGTGGATGGTTCCATAAAGACCCCCAAATCAAGATAAGGGTCGAGCCAGCTCAGACTAGTTAGGGTCAACCTGAGGACACCTGAAAAATGGTAGTGCGCCTGCTTAATGAGCTTCATTACTATTATCTGACACACCCCACATAAAATTAGAGCCTCATTAACGAGTCATGGGACATATGATCAAGGGAGGGGGAACGTACTTGAGAATATCAAGGGGAAACATGTAAGGAGAGGTGTAACCTGGGAAGGAATGGACCAATTCCGGCCTGGGAGGTTTCTCGCTGACTTCAACTGCATAAAAGCACATTTGCCCTTGCACTCAGGGCCCACCCCTCCTAAAGAGGGGTGGAGCCCGCTTCTGGCCAGAAACGGCTAAATCCTCTGGACTTTCTCTGTAATAAATTTTCTTGATACTAAATTTTTGGTGTCAAGCCTATTTCTAACAAAGTTAGTAAGTGGTAAGCTACCAGATGACTGTCTCCTTTCCCTCTCCACTGCAGTCCAACATCCCGAGGAGGAAGAGGGAGGCCAGGGCAAGAGCAGGGAAATGACCACGATGCCCGGAGACCATGGGCCATGATGACAACCATGTCCTCCACTTCAGGGAAATCTTCAGAGCGTATAAGACCCATCCCCTCCCTCGAGCTTCTCCGAGGCCCTGGGAGGGCAGGGCTGAGGCTCCTGGGGGGGGGGGGGCGGCGGCAGTACAGCTGTGATTTCATCAATGTGGGCAGGTAGTGTCATCTGCTCAGCAGTGAGGAGTCATCGGGGCTGCATTAGGCACTGAGGACTCGGGAGGTGCTGCCCACGGCCCCTGGGCAGAATGGATCTACATCAGTCTTGACCCCAGGTCCTCCTGGCTCGAGGGTCAGATTCTTCCTCAGTCACCCTAAACTGTACACTTAGCCACACTCTTCTCAAGCAAACCAGGCCAGGAGTTCCCCTAGGTACTGGGAACTGCCGGGTAAGCACCTACTATGTGCCGAGCACTATGCTAAGCACTAGGGATACAAAAAATAAAAATAAAAAGGTAAAAGCCAAACAGTCCCTGCCCTCAGGGAGCTTACAGTCTAACTGGCACTGCAAACATGTTCCACACAGGATAAACTGCAGAGAATCCCCAGAGGGCAGGCCCCAGGTGAAGGGGGACTGGCAGAGGCTTCCTGGGGACTTGAAGGAGGCCAAGGGGAGCCTGGAGGTGGAGATGAGGGAAAGCATCCCAGGCCTTGGGGCACAGCTGGAGAGAATGCCCCAGGCTGAGGGATGGGGGGCCTCATCGGAGGAACAGCCAGGAGGCAATGTCCTGGCTCCAAGATCATGAGAGGGGGAGGTGGCAGGAAGGAGGAAGGTGGAAGAAAACTGTAAAAGGTGGAGGCAACGAGGGGCCAACAGGCAACTGGGGGAGACAGGATCAGACCTCCCACTTAGGAGAACCACTTTGACAGCTGATTGGAGGACAGGCGAGTGAGGAGGCTTGTCTCAGGGGGACAGCAATAGGCCAGGTGTGAGGTAAGGACAGAGATGGGGTGGGTGGGAGAAAAGTTACAAACGTCTTGGGCAAGAGGCTTTGCTAACAGATTGGATTTGGGGTCCCGGGCTGAGAGTGCAAGTGACATCTCAGCAGTGAGCCTGAGGAGGAACTGGAGGGAGGGCTCTGCCTGGTACAGAGCAGGGAAGAGAGGTAAGGAAAAATAATGAGGTCTGTGCTGGACCTTCTGAGTTTGGGCAATCTTTGGAATTTGGCAATCCAGAGAGAGTTTTTGAGAATGATGAGGTCAGAAGCCAGACTGCAGAGTGTTAAGGAGGAAGGAAGAGGACAGAAAGTGGAGGCCCCTGGTGTAGACAGCCTTCCAAGGAGTTTAGCCATAGGAGTTAGTGGGGATGGATGGATCAGGGATGGGGGAAACATGGGCATGCTTGTGGGCAGTAGGGAAGCAGCCAGTGGAAAGGGAGAGATTGAATAGTAGTGAAGGAATGGGTGACAGAGGGGGCATTCTGATCTTTTGGAGGAGATGGGATGGAAGGGAATCACTCACCTGAACAGGTATTAGCCTTGACCAGGAGAAAGGCCACTTCCTTGTGTGAGATGGGGTGAAGGAGAGAGAAGCAGAAGGCCCTGGAGTGATGGGAAAAGAGGGAGCTCAGGGAGTGGCCTCATTTTTTTTCCTGTAAGATACTAGGCAAGGTGCTCTGATGAGGGCGGTGGGAGGGAGGAGAAGGTTCAGAAGATCTGAGCAGAAGGGGGGATATAAAAAGATTGCCTTGGGGAAGCTAGGTAGCACAGTGGGTAAAGCACCAGTCCTGGGGTTGAGGACCCGAGTTCAAATTTGGCCTCAGACACTTGATACTCACTAGTGACTCTGGGCAAGTCATTTAACCCTGATTGCCTTGCAGCAGTGAGGGCCCAGCTGAGATTACGTAACAGGTAATTATGAGATCATGTAGTAGGACCTCCCAGCACAGCTTCATGATTTTCTCCACCTTCAGCACGGTAGAAGCCATGACAGCAGGTAGTGGGAGTGGTCCAAGGCTGAGGCTTGGGAGGGCAAGATGGCAATGCGATAAGGGGCTTAGAAATGGAATACTGGATGGCAGATACTTCCAGGAGCAGTGACCAGTGACGCCGAGGCTGTAATCACCAGTTTTCTAACTGATTCGGCCCTCTCAGAACACAGCCTTCAGAGAAGCTCCTTTCTCAAAAACCTCTGAAAGAGGAAGAGAGCAAAACCGCACTCGTTGAGGATGTGACTGGTATTACTTTTGTAGCCCTCAGCTTGATGCCATTCCTCATTGGTGGAGAATGATCCAATGCTCCATCCCCGAGTGAGGGTCAGAGGTGGAGGGAGCTTGAGAGAAGAGAGATCCTGGTCTTCTGGCTGCAAGAGAGAGGACAGTAGGGTCTAGACTCTCTCTAGGTTCCTGGACTGAGAGAAAGAGCCTGGGAAGAAGCTGACGTGGAGGGGAGCCGGCAGGCCCCCTCGTGGCCCTTCCCCAGCTTGCTGCACTGGAGACTTTGGGGAATTTCCCCTCCCTGAGATCGGGGACCGTCTCCTCTGAGCTAAGATGTCTTATCCCCATGGGAGAAGGTATTGACTCTGTGTATTGCCTGGCACACATTCTCCTCTGCATACCTCGGATTTCTGTTTGCTACCAGCTTGGGTAGATGGCCCTCATGGGCTGTTTGTCACGTGTTCTTTGTGCAGCTAGCATTTGGTGGGAAGGCAGTCCAGCCTTGCACGGGCGGTTTGGAGCACTCCTTCCCCGTTAAGGGACAGTAACAGCAGTGTAGCTTGAACCTAAAACGTCTTGCCCCCAGACTAACTGTATTTAGGGGTTGTGGGGTAGGTAGAATTCTAGACCAGTAGCCCCCCTCTCTGAGGAGAGGAGAGGGTGAGTGTCCCACCCCCTGGGCTCCCCTCAGAGCAGGAATCCAATTCTGTTCTGGAGGAGGGGGAGGGGAGACAGGAGAGAGATCTCGTCATGCTCCTATGAGGCAGCCCCATGTAGCCTTGCTTTACTGAACCCACACATCCCCAGAGACTTCATTACCTTACTACTATTCCTGTCTCAGTTAAATGGCTCACTGTTTCTCTTGCTGTTCTTGGCCTGGCTCTTCCTATGGTGCACAAGGAAATTGGGGGCCTGCTCCCACTCCACATTGTTTGAACAGGAGCCTGTGAGAGTTCAGAGTGGGTGAGAGCTAAGGATGGATGAGAGCTAGGAGAAAGCTTGGCAAATAGAGGTGAAAGGTCAAAGCGAAAGGGGACCTCAGGACACAGAACAAGAAGCTCAGAGCTGGGGAGGGGCCTCAGAACCTGGGATGACAGAGCTGGGAGGGGCTCCAGAACCCAAAATGTCAGAGTTGGGAGGGCCTTACTGGGATGGCAGAGCTGGGAGGGGCCTTAGAACCTGGGATATCAGAGCTGGGAGGGCCTTAGAACCTGGGATGGCAGAGCTGGGAGGCACATTGGAACACAGAACTTAAGCCTGATGGAGCTTTACAAGAAAGATCTTTAGAGTTGGGGGAGATTCAGCTGGTCAGTCTACCTCATTTTACAGAGGCCAAAGCTGAGGCCTGAGGACAGGGAGTGATTAGCTCAAGGTTCCACAGTCAATTAATGCCAGGATAAAGTGGGGCTTTTACTTCCTCTAGAAGCCCACCTTGGCCTCCCTGGAGGGATGAGACCTCATCTAGGAGAGGGTCTTCCAAATGGGCCTGGGTAATAAAGGCCTGGCCCCAGTGTCTGGGAGGCAGAATACAGCAAAACAGACCCACAAAAGGCAATGGCATTTAAATGACTTAAAAACCCAGCCCAGACTTTCCAAAGTAGCACAGGAAGTCTGGGTGTGTTTTGGGGTTAGTGTGGTTACAAGGGTGGGGTTATCTTCTTTTCCAAGGTCTGGCTCCAGTATTTCAAAGGGCCATGATTTCACTCAGTCTCTCTCTCTCTGGATGTAGTGTCCAGCCCCCTGCCCTAACACCCATATGCCTCAGTTGGCTGTTTCCCGAGCTGCTGTGCCCTGTTGGCCAATTCCACAGGTCTCTCTCCATTGCCAACACCTCTGAGGAAGGCCCCGGGCCCTCCCCCTGTCCCAAAGGGTCAGCAAAGGAGGAAGGCTAAGCAGAGCTGCTCTCAAGTGGGGGGAGGGGGGAGCCAGCAGGGACCACAGAAGTGGGCATGGCAAAGAAAGTGAGAGCCAAGAGGCTGTGGCTGCTGCTGCTTGGCACAGAGAGGGCACCAGCCTCTCTTCTCCAAAGCTGCCTTCAGATACTGGGTCAGAGCACGGAGAGCCAGGACCTCAGGCTGGGTTGCTTTCACCGACCCTCCCATTGGAACTGGAGAGTTGGGTGTGTTTACGAGAGCCAGGCGAGAGCCTGGGTGCTAAAGCGTTAGGGCCCTTGGGTTCCTCTGTCACTGCCCCTTGTATTGGGGGATTGCCTGAGAAGGGCTGGTCTGGTCACACCCACAATGGTGGCAAGAATGTAAACAATTAACAAGGAAATGCAGCAAAGTTCGTGGCCAGTGTAGCAATCACAGTTAGGGCCCCACGGTCTACATTTTGCTTAGTTTCAGGTGGAATGTATTTTGCATGATTCGCGGGGAGAATTTGTTGGGAAATGATCATGTTGTCCGAATGCTGTTTTTAAACACTCCTCCAAGAGCTGGCCTGTGCTGCATGGTGCCCAGAGAACCCCAAATCACTGATCATGTGTGAAGATCAGCAGCAGCTTGACTCCCCCTTTCTATAGTTGCACCTGAGTCAGAGGGAGGGACCCCAACATGGGCTCCATTGGGCTGTTCTTGAGTTTAGCACCATAGAAGCAGAGATCACACAACCCAAAAGTCCATTTGCCACAACAGCCAGTCCAAGGGGCAGCCCAGAGAATTGAGAACAACACTGGGGGGAAGTCTGGGGTCCATGTGTTCATCTCCTTATGACCTTGGGGAAGTCCTATGAACCATTCTGGGCTATAGTTAGCTCATCTGGAAAATGGGTATAGTCATTTGATGTCCTTCTTCTCAATCCTCACAGATTCTGTTGGCCTTGTTTATTATCTCTAGCCTTGATAACCAAGAACTTTCCCAGTGGAGCCCAAGCTTTGGCAGATGCTCCCAAGCTGGGAAGTCTCTGAGTCCAGGACCCAGCCCCATTAAGTGCCAGTAGGTGTGGCAATGTGGCAAGGCCCCTGCTAGCAGTGTGAAGGGCAAACAATGACTCTGAGATTCTCTAGGCACCATGTCCTTATGGAACCTCCAGACTCGGGAAGGAAAGAGAGCTCTTAGTTTGGAAGAGAAGCTGAATTCTCTCTTGACTTGAGCAGTAAGTTAAGATCCTACATGTAGAACAGGAAGGGACTTGACAGGCCATCTGGCCCAGCCCCTTCCATTCCCCTCTGGCCTCAGTGTTCTTATCTGTAGAATGTGTGTGGGGGGGAGTTTGGAACAAATGTTCGCTTAAGTCCTTTCCCATTTTAAATGTCAGGATTATTATACCTTTTATGTTGACAGCAAAAAGCTCATACACTCAATCTGTGCTTTACAGTTAGTTACAGAGCAATTTTATAAATTCCTAGACTGAGAACCAGTCCGGACCTACTGTTGGCTCATCTATTCCAATCCCCTCACTTGACAGATGCCTCTGCGATTCTCTGTCTCCTGGCCTCAGATCGGGTGTCTTTCCACAGTATGGTCACACCAAGTAGGGCCAAAGAAAGCAGGCTTCATCATGTCAGTGCTTCCAAAGACCTAGAACACTCCAGGAGTGGCCGTGGCCTTGCTGGGGCCAGTGTGCTGAGGAGCCTGACTGAGCTCAGCCTGCAAACCCAGAACTTGTCCCTAGTCTCCCCTCCCCATCCCCCAGCCTTCTCAGTGAGACCGCCAGAGCCAGCCAAACCTTTCGGACCCGGAAGCTTCAAGAGCTGGGGTCGCTGGCCGCCTGCCCGCCACCCACCCCAGGGCGCCTCTGAGGAGGTAAGGAAAATTGCAGAAGAGCCCAAGGAAAAGGAGGAGGCGCGATCATGGAGCCAGCATACGAATCTAGCTCCAAGAATAGACACACGTCTGTTCCATTCGCACATAAAATCCTTTCAAAGGTCATTATTTGGCACGGAACTTGTTTTATTTAGAGCGAAATGGGCGCAGGAATCTCAGGGTTTTGATGGTTTCCCCAGCTAGTCATAGAACAGGGCAGACACAAATGGACAAGTCACCTGGGGAAAAAGGCAAAGAGAAACCCAGCCCGGGCTCTGGCCAGCAAAGGTTATTTTCGTCTGAGCAGTCTCTCCATGAATTTCCATCCGAACTCTGGCGTCAGCGGAGTGTGCCAGGCCAGCCCCGAAAAGGCGAGTGTGTGAGGAGAGGTGGCAGCCCCTGGAGGAGGTGGGGAAGGAGGGAGGAGGTGGGGAAGGAGGGAGGAGGTGGAGGCCCTGGGCTCCACAGAAGCAGGGCCCCTGCGAAGCTAGGATGTGCCACCCCAAAGCACTCCCAGGGGCGGCTCCGCCCACCCTGGGCTCGCCCTCCCGGCTCTGTCCTTTCCACTTTGTTACCCATCCAAAGCGTCCCGAGGCTATGCTCGCTCAGCCGCTCCAGAAAGGAGAAATGCTCGTTCTCCTCCCCTCACCCGGCGCTAATTGGGAACAGGTGAGTGGAGATGGGCCGAGGTGGCGCCGGGATGCCGGACGTTCCCATCAGTCTAGTGGGATCAGAGGCAGCCGCGGCCATCAGATTCTTCTGTGCCGATTTCAACACTGCGCCTTCTAACCAGGACCAGGCCGAGCCCATCCTGTCCTGCTTCCTGGAGGAGAAAATGCTGGAAAAGTCCGAGAAGGAGAATGGGAAATGCTGCTGGGCACAAGCCCTGCTCCCAGCTTGGTCGGGACTCCCAACGATGACAGTGCCTCCACTGAAGCAGATCGGCACCCCTTAGCTCTAGCGAGCTGCCCAGGGCACCCAGCCAGGACTTGAACCCACATCTTACTGATTTGGAGGCAGTCGCCTGTCTCTTAGGCTTTGGATGCCTGCACATTAAGCGCCTCTCATAGCCCAAGTCGAATTCAGTTCAACGAGTGTAAATGGAGGCCACGCTACTTGTGGGGGGGAGCACGTTAAGGGGGGGCTCAGTCTTTTGGGGGTTCAGGGCTCCTCAGGCAGTCTGCCTGGCAAGGCCCATGGACCACACCTCCCAGAATCATGTTTTCAATGCATAAAATACAGGGGATAACAATGTAGGCCAAATTTAGTGAAGCATGCATGGACAGCAAAACCAAACCAAAGCCGTATTCCCGGAGTCCTGGTTGGTGCTCTGGACAGGCAGAGAGAGAGCCAGGGCCTGAGCCTGCTTGCTGGGGCGCTAAGGTCTGCACACATGAAGACGATGCCGGTGCCAGGAGGGACTCACTTCCACTCTTCCCCACTGGCTAGCTGCCTTCAGAGTCCCAGGCCTCAGGCAAAGCTTTCCGCTGATGTGGGAGACATGGGCACATTTGGAGGCAGCAGGGAAGCAGCCTCAGTCATTACTTAGTGAGCTTTGTAATTATGATTGGGATGCTAATATTGTTCATGATCAAATCTGATGAAGGAATGAATGAATGAATGAATGAATGAATGAATGAATGAATGAATGAATGCTTCCAGATGTGTCCCTCCCCCCACCAGGGTTTCCAGTTCATTGTCTGCCTGTGGCCCCCACCTCAGGGGCAGTTATGGGATGATCATAGTACCAGAGTCCCACTGTGCTCAGGGGCCGTGACCTGAATGCCAATGCTGCTCCTGACACTCCCTGTGCAGCTGGGCAGTCCCACAACCTCCCTGTGCCTCAGCTGGGTCATCTGTAAAATGAAGCAATGAATTGAAGGCCTCTGAGGTCCCTTGGGCTCCAAGTGCGGGATCTCACATTGAAGTTTATTGGAACCAGCACCAAGATTTCTTTGTAGCCAGTGAGCACATATGGTCACAATTGTTTTTCTTGGAAGTTTTGACCCACTGCCTGAAACGTCCTTGACCTTTAAACACATGCACACACATGAATACACGTACACCAAAACACACAAGCAGGCAATACACACATGTACCCAGCACAATGTGCATGCATATATGCATGCAGACACATGTACGTGCACATGTGTCTACAACACAGGCCCACAGCATGCTGCACACACATGCACAAGTGTAACACACACACACATGCACGTGCACACACACCCTTCTGCACACTCATGGGCTCCCCTTCACTGGAGGTCTGTAAATGCAGGCTGCCCACTTGACTTTCTGTTGGGGACACTAAGGTAGGAGATTCTGATTCAGCTCTGGGTTGGCCTCAGGGGTCTGGGGGGGCCTGCCAATCAGAGGTTCTGGAGCTGCCAGGCTCTGGGATTATGGCCTGGAAACCAAGCTCCAGGGCATGTCTTCTGATGGGTTTCCCAATCTTGGATGCATTTTCCTTATGGCCTTCTGGCTTGGTTCATTCCATTCCCATGAATCTCAGAGTGCCTGAAGGAGGCCAAAGCTTTAGAGGCAGCTGGTGGGCCTTCTGCAGACCCTTGGGACCGTCCTGCTTACCTGCGCAGAAAAATCAAGGCCTGGGATTGCTCCCCATTGGGGGGTTTACGTGGGCACAGAGGTGTTGGCAGGAGGAAGCCCGAATTCTGAGGCAGCACGCATTTAGGGTTAGGAGGTCTCAGGCAAGATACTGTAGACCCTTGGACCCTAGATGGTATATCACTGGTTCCCCTCAGCTCTAACATTCTGTGTTTTTGCTTCCCTCCCAGTCCTGACCTCCCCTGTTCTAAGGGCCCTCCCAGCTGCAACCTCCCCTGTTCTAAGGCCCTCCCAGCTCTGACCTCCCCTGTTCTAAGGCCCTCCCAGCTCTCACATTCTCTGTTCTTGGTTCCCTCCCAGCTCTGACACTCTACAAGTCCATAACTCTGAGGATATGGGAGTCACCATTGGGGTGTATGGATATTTTTCACCATGTGCCCCTCGTGGCCGAGGGCTCCACTTCCTCCAGGTTTTACAGCCTCTGTCCTCCCTCCAGCTCTATCCCGTGCTTGCTGGGCTAGAGACGCCAAGCAAAGCCCGGGGTTGCGACACACCCCAGTGATTGATGGTGAAAGCGTCTCCTAGGGTTGTTTCTCCACTTTGCCTCCTTCCAAGAGAGAACCTCAGACCCAACCTACTGCTCAGCCACAATGTCATTTCCAGTCATTCCACAGATAACATTTGGTTCCCATTACTCAGAGATACTCCCCCAGACGTGCCGTCAAAGTGGGATCTGCAGCAGGACCAAAACAAGGTTATCTCCAGCACTCAGCAGCTCTCAATTCCAAGAAAGGCTGTTTTGGGGTGGGGTGGGGGGAGGCTGAGTCCTCCAGGCCTGGTTATCTGCACCTCCCGCCGGATAGCGTCTCAGGCCTCCTGGCCTGAGAGTCAAGAGACCTCACAGCCAACTGGAGTTCTGTCCCTGCCTTGCTGCTGACCCAGAGAAACACCCACTGCTGCTGTCCAAGCCTCATTCTCCTGCTGCAAAGGGGATGAGAACGCCAAGATGGCTGAGATTTCTACAGTTCTCAAGTGCTAGGTTCTAGGCTCAGAAGTTCTAGATAGGACAGTTTATATTTTCTGCTCTATGGCCCCTCCCAGGTCTGACATTCCCTGTTCTCTGGCCTCTTCCAGCAAGGAAGGAAGGAAGGAAGGAAAAAAGGAGGAAAGAAGGAAAAAAGGAGGAAGGAAGGAGGAAGGGAGGGAAGGAGGGAGCTGGGCTAGGTTGAGAGGGGCTCATCCCTCCATGGCTAGCCACCACATAACCCCCAGAGGCAGTCTGCTCAGGCATGGAGGGAGGGGGCTTTATAGAATGTGGGTGTTGGTCTAGCTAGGTCAAAGTCAGTATTTTGGCCTGTTGCCAGGCCTTTGCCTCTTTCAGGGACTGTGGCCATGACTGCCAGGCCACCCCTGTAGAACTGTCACAGTCTATAGTGGGTTCTTCAAAGACCCTTGAGCTAAAACACATGGGGAGACATGGAATGGCCCCTCCCCCACAGCTGCCTGAGCCTTCCTCTCCCCCGCTGCCCCTGAAAGCAGCCGTGATGGACACCATATGGACTGCCACGCCTGTGTGTGAGACTGGCCAAGCCGAGGGTCCCACCCAGCCAGGGTGAGCGGTGGGGAATGACCTCTAGATCCTTTTGAAAAAACCCATCCTGCCTCCTGGCTCTGTGCCAGCTGCTTGAAGGCGATGATGAATTGGAGGCAAACCCACACAAGACCCAGAATGGGCCTCGGCATCTGAGTGGGAAGGCACAGCCCAGGCCAGGGGGACGACACCTGCCCCTCGCCAATCACAGACACATAGATGTACATGGGTGGCATGTTCCACGTGTGTGATAACACGGCATTACTGAGATGGCCATGCTGCTGTTATTTCTAACTGTCACAGAGGATGGGCTGCTAGGAGGTATCTGAGGCAGGACTGGAACCCAGGACTTTCTGGCCTGGAGCCTCAGAGGAGGGGATAGAGACTCAGACAAATGACAGCAGGTGCTGCTGTCCCGCCGTGAAGAGGGCCTTTCTTAGCAGGACCGAGGCTCCCACAGTCACAGGACAAAAGCTTCTTCCTGGGGATGGTAAAGATTTAAGCACTAAGAAAAGGTTTCTCTGTGGCCTGAAGTCCTCTCCAATGCTGAGGTTCATCAACTCATCATGCATATATTAAGCACCTACTATGTGTGAAGTGCTGGGGAAATGAAAGATGAGCCATGAGACATACACCTATGGGTGCAGCCGCAGCGGAAGAACGCTGTTTTAAACAAAATCCAAAGAGCATTACTCAAGCTGTACCTGTGTACATACTGTGCCCCTCTGTGGGACTCAGTTATCTCATCTGTAAAATGGGGTTAATATTACTAATACAAATAATGGGCCACTGGGGGGGGCACCATAGTGCTCAAAGCACTGGGCGTGGAGTCAGGGAGCCTCACCTTCCCGAGTTCGAATCTGACCTCAGACACTAATTGTGTGACCCTGGGCAAGTCATTTCACTCCATCTGCCTCAGTTTCCCCCTCTGTAAGATGAGCTGCAGAAGAAACTGACAGTATCTTTGCCAAGAAAACCCCCGAAGAGTCAGATACAACTGAAAAATGACTGAAGGACAAAAGTGTGAATCATAATACTGAAGGACCTGCTTCCTTCATTCAAGGCTTTCTCAGGCACTTCCTCATGCAGTGACTCGCAAGGGCTTTGCCGATGGAGCACAAGCTCTATAGGGCCATGCCACACTGGAAGGCTTGGAATGTGCCTCTGGGGCTGGACTGGGTGTCTGCCATCCAAGGGCCAGCCTGCCTACGTGTGCTTGGCCACAGGGGACACACTTTTCAGCCACACGAACATTCGAGGCCCAAGTCACGGAAGGGTTGCAATCTGTGTCTGTGGGATGAATGTCCACCCTATGGAGTGACAGGGCCTAGGCAAAGACTTGCCTCCAAGGCTTGTGGTGGTCATGTCTGTGATGTGGCTGCTGGTCCCTGAAGCCTTTTAAAGACCCTCACCATTCCTGTGATGTGATGATACAATGTTATATCGTATTATATTACGTCACTTATGTGTGTGCATGCATCCTTCTCTCCCCAATTAGAACAG